GCTGGAGCCCAGCTGGGAGGAAAGGGACTTCTAAGACAGAGAAAAGGGAGGCTCTGATTATTTATTAGTGGCCGATGTTTGATCGCTTGCTAATCAGGCCAGAGAACACACTCGGGCTCTCCCTGCCTCCCTGCTCACATGTGGTTCCTGTTGCTGTGCCCCTTCCCCCCTCCCTCTCTCTGGTTTTGCTTTGTTTGTGTTTCTGTTAATTTGGTTGTTTTTCCATGTCGTTTTCCGTCAAACCGCATGTTTTTTCCCCTTTCTCTCGCCAGCCGCTGCAGTGACAGACATGGAGGAAGGAGGCCAGCCTGGAGCCGCTTGCCCACTGCCAGTGCCTTTCCCACCATCATCTGGGAGGCAGCAATGCCCACGGGGCAGGGCTGGGGCTGGCACCGGGCGATGAGCCCCTGTGCCGCCACGGCAATGCGGAGGGCAACTCCAGTGCCTGCATCCTGACTTGTGTCCCTGCTGCTGGAGGGGATTTTGCTGTATTTCCTCTCCCATGCAGACCCCATCCCTGCCTGCACCCCAGCCCGCCAGCCTTGTTAGGCAGCGGGCAGAGCGACGGGGGGCCAGCAGCACAGCTGGCAGCGCTTGGGCATCCCCAAAGCTGGGCAGAGGGGTGAAAGCAGAGGTGCAAACGGGCAGAGTCGCCGGGTCAGGATGGAGATAAGCAGGTTAGAAAGGGACAGAGGGATGGGAGTGGAAGGACAGACGCCCGCCCTGGCTGCCTCCCTCCCTCCCCTCTTTGCACACAAGGCCTCCCCGCTCCCATGTGCGCTCTCCGGCTTCTGGCAGCCTTTCCGCCGCGCGTTTCCACTCCTCTCTGGCCCATTAGCAGTATTTTTATAACATTCTGTAATGCACGGAGCCGTGTGCCAAACCTCAAGAGCACATTATTTCCCAACGTCTTTGTTATATCCATCCCCGGGCCCTCTGGCCGCGTGTTTCCAAATACAGAGCTGTGGCTCACGGGGGCAGCCGGGAGCCCGGTGCCGTGCTCCTGGTACCCGGAGCATTCCCCTCCCTTCTGCCTGCTCCTGGCGCTCAGTCCCGGGCTCAGGCCAGGGATGCCTGGTGTGCAAAAAGCCCCGGCCCCATCGCCTACTGCTTCCGACCATGCTCAGGCATCTGCCACTCTCCAGGCTGCAGGGCAGGTGATCCATTGGAGATAAACACAGAGCATCCTGGTTCTTCACTTCGTGCTCAGCTGCCTGAGAAAAGGAGGCAGAGCAACACGTCGCTGCTCGAAGTCTCCTGGAAGAGGCTGCCCTGGAGAAGCACAACCTTCCCCAGGGCCAGTTTGTGCTCAGGATGATTAACGCCCTGGAGATGGGTGATCTGGGACCCTTAGGGATAAGCAAGCCTGTGGGCCCTTCCTCCTCTCCGAGGTGGGCTCTCCTTCTGTTGCCCACCCCATCCCTGGATGTACATTGTTCCCACTGCATGTGTGCCGGTGTACCCATCTCTGCGAGGGACGAGGTAGTCTGGCTACCCCCAGCCTCTGTGGGGTGCTGCTGGGCTTCCAGCCACATCCCCCATGATGTGGACCCGGGTATCACACCCCACCCCAAGGACCAGATGAGTTACCCATGTCCTCCTGCCTGCCTGCTGAAGCATACCAATGAGACACGTTCACGCACTTTGTTCCTTTTGCACCGTTACGTAGCATCCTGGCCCCTCCAGCATGAAATTCCCAGCCCAGAAATCCCCAGGTCCCCCCGCATCTCTCCCCCCACATCCCACCAGAGCTCCCTGGTCCTTGTGGGCCAGAGCCATTATGGTAGACACCACTGAGAGTGGTCCAAAGGTTGATGTCGAAGCTCCCCCATCCCTCCCAGCAGCTCCCCTTTCAGCACAATCTGATCCCCTTTAGCCATTTCCTAAGCTGTGTTCCAACTCTCGTACTAATCCACATTTTCTCTGGTTTAACTCATAATTTCCCATGTGGCATCATAGCAAATACTTCACTGAAGTCAAGACAGATTACATCGACCACATTTCTGGGCTTAGGAAATCAGTTCCCTTATCGAAGAGAGCTATCAGGTTAATCTGGTGTGATATATCCCTGGCAAGTCCCCCTTGTATTTTTCTCCCATTTTCCATTTGTCTCCACATCTTTAATTGCTCCCTCTTCCAAGTGCGCCCTGCGGCCCCGCTGTGCTGTGGGGTCAGGCTGTCTGATCAAGATTTTTCCTTCTCTCAAGCACAGGAGACACGTCCCCTCTCCCCACAGCACTGGGTACCGCCACTGACCTCTCAGCTGCTAATGAGCCTTGCTAACGAACAGGAGATGAGGAGATGTTCTCACCTGGGGATGAGGTGCTCCCCAAGACTTCAATGCGTCATTTTCTTTGAAGGTGCCTCCATGACAGAGGACCATCTCCAGGTTTTATCCTCCCTCCTCTCCCCCAGCCTGGGCTGCCCTTGCTTTCAGCATTGCTGCTCAGAGTTCATTTGGTATCGGGCTTTGCCGAGCTTACCTTTAATCTCCTCTGAAACCTGGCTGCAGAGCCAGCTCCGCTCTTCTCTCCTTGTTTGCTCCGTATTTATATGCCTAACCCCCCCTTTTCATTTCCTCTGCAAGGTCTCGCTCAGCTTGACTCCTGGCAGGTCTCCCTTCATCCCTGTGCTTGCTGACCCCCATGATGGAGCTTGCTTTCCTAATTGACACTCTTTCCTGGTCCTCGTCGCTTCTCTGCTCCTTCCCCACACCCTTCCTGCAGCATTGTCAGCCCAGGAGCACCCCTGCCTCACTTGGGGTGCATGCTTCAGGTACTGTCACTTATCTAGTGAGATCCCCGACACTTCTCCATCTGCAGCCCCCAGCCCCTCAGTCCTGCTGCCGTCATCTTTCTTGTTGCCCCAGTAAGAGAGCAAAATGCAGGCACAGGCCTGTTTTCATTTAACTTCCCATGCAATTGAAACAAAACAAATCCAAGATCCCTCAAACCCCAGGGCTGTACTCAGCTGCAGCAGGGATGCTACCACAGGGCCATGGTGCAAACCTCCCCCAAGCCGCCCATCTCCACCTCCATCAACATGCCCATGCCCATGCCCATCTCCATCCCCTCCTGGGATGCTCCCAAATCTTCTCCTCTGCAGCAGCCTGCACACCTCCAGGGAATCAGTCATGCCCTGCAGAGGCAGGAAAGTTGGGGGAGGTGCAGGCAGGGGCTGCGGGTGGCAGCGCTGGGAAAAGAAACCTCGTGGAGAACATTAAATTAAAATCCAGGCAATTAAATTAATTACCACTAAAAGCGTCTCACCTGATTAGTTCCTTGCATACTTAATTGTGTTAACAACACCGGGCATTCACTTATTTATTTGTCACCTTCTCTCCTGGGGCTGGTGGCCCCTGCCGTGTTCAACCGGGCTCCTCAGCTGCCCAGTGCTCAGGGGGGCTGTGAGCCTCCAGCAAATGCGAACACACGGTAATAGGAAACAGCAGGATTTGGGCTCTAACGCTGAGCAATTCCCACGGGTCCCTGAGCGGATTGACAGGGATTACTATTAGTGAGGTGCTTAGCAGATGGAAGAGCCATTGCAAAGTCACGGCGATGCCACAGCTGCACAGGAGGTAGTTGGAGGCTGCAGCCCCCTCCCTTGTCCCCTTTTTTCCTCCAGACCTAGGCTGCAGCCCCCCATGCACTGGCACAGCCTGGGACCTCTCCTCAGATGGGATCTGCCCAAACACAGCCTCCTCCTGCTGCCTGCACTACACCCAGCTCCTGTGTTCCCTGTCTCTGAACTACACATGAACACCTCCTCACCCCAACAGCGCAGTTGAGAAGCCCCTGACCCATCTGTCACGGTCTTTTTGTCTGCCATGCTCCCAGCCTTGACACCTACTCACTGCCATACCCACTGCCCTGTGCTGACTGCTCTCCCCTTGCCTGCTTCTCACATTGCCTTTCAGCTTCTTCCAGCACCCCTTCCTCTTGGCTCATGTGCCAGGATCCCTCCCAGTAGACCCGAAACCATGAGTTGGACACCACGCAGCATCCCTCAAACTTGGATTTCTTCAGTTGACCCACAGATGCAGTAAGCCCCTCCTGCCTGATTTGCAGGGCTTATGCAGCCCTCGGCTGGTCCTCCTGCAACCCTCTGCCCCTGGACCATGATCTAGGTTGGAAACATCACTTTGGCTCTGATGCAAGGTGCAGAAAGTGAGACAAGGAGCAGAGAAAGGCTCTGCCGTGCCCTCCAAACCTGGGAACGTACGGCTACCTACAGGACGCATCCCCAGCTGGTGGGGGTCCCAGCGGGTGCCTCGCAGCATCCTCCACAGCAGTTACCATCCCACAGCCAGCTCTGCCGGCTGGTGCTCCCAGACACCCACCGCTGCCACTTGCAGACGTCGTACTGTGAAACACACAGTTGCCATCAGCTGTACAAACACAGCAGCCCACTGAACACACAGCTGCTATCAGCTTTCAGCATCATGTGAAATATAGCACAACTCTTATCTCCCACGCCGAGACCTGTGAATCAGTGCGTCTCGAGCTTAAGATATGCAAAATGCTGGGAAACGTGCAGCTGTCCTCCAACACGTCTGTGCACAGAGGCTCCTGCAAACACACAGCAACTGCCACCGCCTTTTGGCTGCTCCTCTGAAACAACCATGCTGCAGTAACCCCGGCCAGGACTTCTCCCTTCTGGTTGCAATCCCCTCTGACAGCTCAGCCCTAACTCTTTCCACCTGCAGAGATGGTGGTCATGGTACTGGGCTGGATGCAGAAGCAACATCCCTTCTCAAATTGTTCCTGGGGCATCATTTAATCTACTGGCTTTGATGCAAAGTTTGGGGCAGGAGGGGCTGCTCCCATCCTGCTCCTGGGATTAGTATGCCACAAGGGGCTCGTATGGCAGGGTGCAGCAGGCAACTGTATGTATGGAAAGTATAGGGGTTGGCATGGCAGGAGGGGGCTGTGAGGGGTCAATATGGGAGCAGAGAGTGTGGCTCTGTCTCCTTCAATGTCACATGCTGGGGTACTCACTTCCCACCCTCAGGTAGGTCTGGTATTTCAGGTGCCAGGAGGAGCCCTCATAGCAGGAGTACTGGCCGCTCTGTGTCAGGTCGACTTTCTTCAGGATCAGGTAGGATCCGTTCAGGTGGGACTCATCGATGTCGGTGCCATTGGCTGTCCAGGTCACGGCTGCGTCCCAGTCCATGGAGCCACACTTCATGGTCACGTCCGCGCCTACCCGCTCATACTGGATGTGGCTCTCTGTGGGGAGGAAGAGGAGAAAAACAGGTGAGCTTGGAGCCCCATGGGAACGGCTGCCTTGGCAATAGGATCTTACCATCATGTCTAGGAAGTGAGAGAAGGACTGGGGCATGGACTGACACTGTGTTTGTGGCCAGGTTCCGATAATGATTCATTTTAACCTTAGACTAGAGTGGATCAGCTGGCAAAGACCAGGGATCAGGACTCATGGACCACCTCTATCTCACAGGATGCTTTCCTCTGACCTTTACCTTGGAGGAGACATGTCAGGGCTGCATGTATAGCTCACTAGCCAAACGCCCCATGGCGCAGGCAGGCACTCAACGCCAGCAAGTCATTGCCACTCCTGTATCTACGTGACTTGTTGCAGGATGCAAACCAAATGCGTGCATGAGAAACTCCCAGCAGAGAGATGACAGAGCCCCAGGACTTATCACCAGCAAACCTGAGTTATTTACTAGCAGAGGTGGAAAGTAGGCCCCTGCCCTTGCAATTCCCTGCCCAGGAAATCAGGTGGGAGGATTGCAACCTACCCGTGCTGGGCTTTGGAAAGGGGCAGCCGCTTGGTGCATGCTATGCTGTTTGTCTCCCTGCCTGGCTTTTCTTCTCTCTCTGCAATAACATGATGCCTTGCTGAGCTGCTTGATTTAGCAGCTTGTGAGTGGGGCAATACAGCTCATTGGGCACCAGCTGCCTAATTGAATTTTCTCAGGTTTCTGGACAGGAGCTCGAGCTGACATTCATTAATGATCCTTAGCAACTGAATCTTTCCTGTGGTGCTACACTGGCTGTGCTAAGCTGTGTGTGGCAAGGATAAAACCATGTGTGTGTGTGTGCATGACACGGGGTGAAGCAGAACAGGTGGATAAGCAGGGGATGAAGTTCCTTCAAGGCTTCATCAAGCCTTTGTGCACAGACAAGGGTAGTTCAGTTCTCAAAATACTCCTGGGTTTCAAGAACACATTTGACAAGGTGCCTCCCAAGGAAACCAAGCAGCCCTGACACACGAGGAAAGTCCTTGCAAGGATTTATAGCAGCTAAAGGTCAGGAGACCAAAGGTGAGAACAAGCGGTCAGACGTGGCAGTAGAAGACGTCACCAGTGAAGTTCAGCAGAGATCAGAGAGGGATCTGAGCTGCCCAACACCCTCATAACTCATGGGGAAAAGGGGGTCAAGGCAGTGAGAGGAGACAGTGTGCTGCTGAGGCTGTCGGGGCAGGCAAGTTACAGCTGGGTGCAAAAGCGCTGCAGAACGATCTCATGGTACAGACCCCCCAGGCCATAACACTGTGTCGATAAGCGTCCAGGGATGCACACAGGGCAAATGAAGCCTTGCTTCTCCTACCACTCATGGTTCCAAATGAGCTGCAGCCTCCATGGAAACATCTCTTGGAGTCATCACGCTCACTTCCCTGAAAACATCAGCCCAGTGGTGACCGAAAAGACAAACCCAATGCTAGGAATTATTCAGAAAGGGATTGAGAACAACATGGAAAGCTCTGTACCCTAAAAGCCATGCACAAATTTGTTGCCGTGCTCTTAGGAGTACAGTTCAGCTGAAAACAGAGCAGAGAAAGGAAACAGAAATAGCAAAGGCTGGAAAGAGCCCCCGCGTAAGGACGGCTTAGCAGACTTGATCCCTTCATCCATAAGAGGAGACAACTGAGCGGAGACGTGATAGACACCTAAGCAATGATGAGTGACATGGAAAGGACAAATAGAAAAAGATCACTTGCTCCTTGCCCTAATAAAATAATTAGCAGCAAATGAAAACAAGCAAAAGAAAGTGCTTTTTTGCACAAAGTGTGATTAAATTACAGAAACTCATGTCCATCAGATGCTGTGGATGTCAACATTTGGGCAAAAATAGCGCTTAAATGAATCCATAACAGAAGACACCACCCAGGGCGGTGAAACACTGAGTTGGCCCAGTGAGCCTGGGGAGGCTGCAGGCAGCTGATGGTGCGGAGGGACAGGAGAAGCACCTCCTGTGCTTGTCCTGCTTCTTCCTCCCTCTCTAGACATCAGCTCCTGGGTCCTCTTGATAGGTGGGACCACATGGGCACAATCCAGCCATTCCTTGTGTGAATGCCCACAGCATGAGCCTGTCTCCCAAAGGAGAGAGCCCCAGGGTGAAGCTGGTCCTGGAAAAGTCCTTGGCAGGTCTGAGTCCTCCTGCAGACGGTCTGTCAGGACAACTACTTCTGACAGGGAAACCCTTGGGGATGCTATCCTTGCTGGGAAATTGGGCGCTAAGAACAGACAAGGAAAAATTGGGTTGTAGCAAGTAAGATGCTGGTGAGACGCCTCAGGATCATCTCAGACACTAGCCAAGGATGGGGACCTTTGAGAAACTGCATTGATCAGACAAGTGTGTTTCAAGTGTCTTAAAAAAGCTTAGAGCATATACTGACAAGCAGAAAGAGGGCAGAACTTAAAACCTGAGACATTTGTGTGAGGAGGGGTAGCTGGAATGGGCCCAGATAAACAGGCAGACACGCAGAAGTGTGGAAAAAGATGGATGGGTGGACAGATGAATGAATGTGTGTGATCGCAGACAGACAGCTGGCTGGATGAGCACAGATGGGATGAAGGGAAGTGTATGAAGACGAAAGGATGGATGGCTATGCAAGTGGATGGATGGATGAATGGATGGGCATATATGGCGATGCAGAGAAGTGCAAGAGGATGGAGGGATAAGAGTATAAGCAGCTGGCTGGCTGGCTGCGTATGTGGATGGAGGGATGGGTGAACAGATGGGTGCATGTGTAGAGGGAGGGAGGGATGGAAAGACCAATGAATGGCAGTGGTGTTGGGTGGATGGTTGGCTGTTCAAATGGCTGTGGAGGTGGGTGGATAGATGGATGGATGGACAGATGACTAGGCAGATGGGGAGAAGGATAGATACAGATAACAGAGTTAAAGTAAGAGTCCCAGCATCTTACTCAAGTTCTCCTCTGATTTCTTCTATTGCATAAGGCAAAGACATTTTCTCTTCCCCTTTCCTGCTAGCTCACAAAAGGCCATTGTCTCTCCTGGCCTTACACTTGGGGATTTGCTCAGCAGAGACACTGGAGACGCTGCACCACCCACCAGCCTTGTGTGGAGAAAGTGGACCAGTGCAGCAGTGGACCGACAGACCTGCCTGCCTTGCCTGGCTCCTGTCTGCCCAGTGCCCAGCCCCAGGGAAGGTCTGAGAGTGGGGGAAAGCTCTGGGGTGTCCAGCTCTACTTCTCAGGATTGTGGCTGAGAGCTTGTCTGTAGCTGGTGGCAGCAGCACTAAGTTGGGAAGGGGGAAAAGGCACCTTGAATTATTTCCTATTTGTCCTTAAACACAGTACAAACACGTTGGCACTCATCCAGAAGGGCTGAGGGAGCCATTCCTGGAAGACAGGTCTTTGAAAGCAACGCTCCCTTCCAATGCAATGATTTAAGACCCCTGACAAAGGAGAAACCCAAAGCACAGCTTCGGAGGAGGTGTTTCTCCCAGCCAGGTTTGCTGAGGCTCTTACTGGAGCTAAGCCAGGTCCTTACATCCCTCCTCCCCCATGCCAGGCATCGGAGTCCCACCCAACCACACTGTGGTGCGAACACACGGCAGCCCCTTTGGGAATGGGCACCATGGGGACAGCCCCCACCTTTGCAACGCTGGAGCAGCCCTGTCTCGTGCTGCAGACACCAGTTCTGCTTTAGGATGAGGATGGGCAAGGGTGACCAGAGTGTTTACTGGGAACCTCCACTTCCCACAGGCTGGGTATGGGCAGGACTCCCCTCCCAGCCCACCCAGAGCCTCATGGCTCCCTTGAGCAGGGAGGGGAGGGAGGTTTGTCCACCCTCCTGGTCATCGCGTCACTGGTAACACATGGGATCGATGACCAAGACAGTGCCTCTGTTGAAGGGCGAGCCCTGCTGGATGGACGTCGACTGGTGGCATGGGCAGAATGAGGGCCAACAGCCAGGGGCTGCAGCTCAGGAGGTTTGAGCTGGACATGGAGGAAAATTTATTTTCCAGGAGGTTGGTGTGGTGCTGGGACAGGTACCCACAGAGAGGGGGGATTGCCAACCTTGGAGGTTGTCAGGGCTCTGTTGACAAAGCCATGGCTGATCTGGTCTACTGTTGAGGACAGTCCTTTTCTGAGTGGGACACTGGAGTAGACACCTCCAAAGATCCCTTCCCACCAACACTGCTGTCATCACTGGCTAGAAGTGATATGTAGAGATGCTGCCCTACCCCTACCACCTTGCTTCTCCAAAGTATGCTGCTTTTTAGGTTGGGTGAAGCACACATGATGGAAAGGTTGTGATGCTGCACCCCAACCAGCAACATGCCTCTGAGCATTCAACCCCACCAAAGGCCACGTTATCTGCAGCAGCACAGCAGGCCAGCCAGGCACAGCATGGCTTATGATATAAAGTCCCAGAGCTGGAGAGGAGCTGTGGTGATGCATAAAAAGGGCAGAAACTCACACCCACAGCCCTGCAAAGCTCCAGTGGAGGGAAGATGGGAGCCACCCATGGGACAGGCACACACAGCTCCTGGTGGTGGACCTGGGGCAGCTTGGTGAAATAAGCTGTGACCTGCTTTGCTGTCCTCCTAGCGATGACGAGTGACAACTTGATGGTATGATCTGTGCAACTGCAACACAACGGGGACCAATGGGACAGCGGTCCAGCAGAGAGACATGGAGCGAAGATGAGACAAAGCAGCTGACACACAGGGCCCGTGGGAACACATTTGATCCTTCCCAAACCCATCCTGCTCAGCTGGAGCTCCTCAATAGAAACATGACCCTCATTTTCCTTCTTACTGAATCTAGACCTGCATCGAGACTGCAAGGGCAACAACACAGGGAAATCCCGCAAACCTGAGGACTGCCCTGACGTGCGCCGTGCTGGGAAGGAGCAAAACTCCTCTTGGGAACCTCCATCTCCACTGGCTGCTCTCCCTCTGTTCCTGCCAAGGCTCCCACCCTGCCAGCACAGGCATGCTGCTGAGCACTG